AATGCATGCATAATCAACCATTAAGATATTGAATAAATTGTGTTTGACTGTGGTATATTATATGAAGAGTCTTGTAACCTGTGCTGTAAATGAGTCCATTCTCCCATGTGGTCATGTTTTCGATAGTGGAATCAACACAGGGCCATGCTAAGTTCCCCCATGGGTCAGAGATTTGGAGGAATGCTGACCTGTATTGACTTGTGTGTGTCTCTGAAGCCCGAACCCCCTTCTTCTTAACACAACACCATCCATGTCCATTCAGGCAGTGCCGGACAATGGGGAACATATTATTTACCTTGTCGTACAGGCAGAGCTATTGTAGTGCATGTGAATAGCCCAAGAGCCTTGTCCTCCTTTATAGAAGAGATTATTTTAAACCCAGTATACTTGTGCAAGCTGAGAGGTATATCTGATTATCACAGAGGATTTTCAGGCTTCAGCTGTGAAGTACAATGAGGTGGTCCACACACACATGCACACACCAGATTGTAGTCTTTGATATGGAAATCACAACAGAGGGGAGTATATCCTTTTACATTCTCAGCACAATGTCGAAAGGGAAGATGATACACGATGGATTTGTCTCGTCCTTATGGATATGCATGTTCACATTTCCTCTCAGATTATGACAAGAGCTCCTCTTTGTCATGCAAGCTGATGACGGAGAATGAGTGCTGGATCTCTTTTAATGTGGTGGGAAGTGAGACAGGGACCACTGCGTACAATCTCCAGATGTACGGTAAGCCTTGAAACGACAACACAGAAAACAGGTTCAATTTAAAGGGAGTTCTCGCATAAGTCTCATCACCTCCATTGTCTCGTCCCAGGTTGCCCGGAGCCTCCGAACATCCCCATGATCATTCTGGGTGTCTCCCTTTCCATTGTGTGTATCGGCCTGATCCTGCTGGCTGTGTGGAAGGTGCTGGTGTCGGTGCACGACCGTAAAGAGGTGGCCAAGTTTGAGGCTGAGAAGGCAAAGGCAAAATGGCAGTCGGTAAGACCCTGAGGTCGTTTTAAACGTGGGTAGTGTGTTTTCTCACTGTTCAAACCGTAAACTGTAAATGAGGATGGACAAAATGGCTGCTAGCCAAAGGGGAAACCAAAGCATCGCAATCGCTCTGACTGGAATTAGGTTGTCAAAGGTCAAAGGTCACGGTGACTTCATATGAGTGTGGGGAAAAAAAGTATGGAGACTGAAACGTCACTGGTTGGCAGAAGCTTACAACCACTTTTTATCGAATGAGAAAAGGATTAATATTTTTTAACAGTTTGTCACAAAAATAACATTAATGATCCTTCATTATGATGAATAAGAGCTGAAGTCCTGCTGTCAAACATGTTTACTGGAGCGAGAAAATCTGCAGCAAAAAATAGCTCCAGACAAACAAACTACTTTCTCCTTTTTCAGGAATGTTTTCTAAACTGATTTGAATCTGCAGCTCATTCAGAGGTGCAAAAAGTCATACAAGTATTTATGGATTTTTATTTTTAGAACAAATGAAAACAATATCGGAAAGAGAGGAGGACTGACACCTTGTTGCTTTTGGTTTTGACACAAACAAACATATAAGATATATTATATTGGTGACAATATTTCTTCATGTGTTAATGGTTTTTCTTGTTTCTGCTCTTCTCAGGGGACCAACCCTTTGTTCAGAAGCTCGACGTCTACTTTTAAAAATGTAACTTACAAGAACACGCAGAGAGAAAAGATTATAACCGTGAATGCCTACTGATGACTACTGAACTGGGGACAATGCAAACCAACACCTGAGTGCACTTAAGTGTGTGTATGTGTATGTGTGTGTATGTGGATAATAGACTGTATATAAAGATGGACGACGTGCCTGCTCCCTAAAATTGATTGCCCCCTGGTAGTCGCCTGCTTTATAGGTCATAAACTCTGCCTTCTCCATGGTAGTGGATGGGACATGGACCAAACTAAAAGTGATAGTATTCATCAAATACATTTTTCTCAAAGATTTTAGGTAGTTCTAATCACACTGATGTTTGTTCAAGCATTTTTCTGGTAGGTTTGGTTTTAATAAGTCATTAGATGCTATAAAATTGGGATAAAAGCTGAGACTGACTCACAATTGGTGGTGGGCGTGAATCGGCTGGAACTCGTCACCGCTACCTCTGGCTTCAACCTCTCAAGCTGGCAGAGTTTGTATTAGGCCTTTGGCTTCATTTTTTGGATAGTGTAGCAAGTGGAGACGTGTCGTCCACCTTTATTTAGAGTTTGTTGTGTGGATCTATCTGTGTTGACTCAGAGATGTTGGAACACAGTGAACGGATGAACGTTACATGATGAACTTGCTGCTGTAAAAGTGCACTGTCCATGTACTAAACACTGCACTCTCCTGTTGCATGATCCTGCAAACTGACGTTTGTCCACTGTAACATGCAGCTTGAAAGGAGGAGTCTACACTACGAGTGGTCTACTACTGAAAAAAGTCTTTAATTTTAATGAATGTAAATATGCAGGTGGATGATTGTGATTTTTTAAAATATTGTGCTTGATGTTTTATTTCAAAGCAAGGCTGAGCCTTCAATGTTTTTTAGTGACATGGCACATAAATAAAGCAAAGTTCTGACTTTTTGTGAAATTATTCTTTCATTATGTGTTTCTCAAATCCCCTGACAGATATTCATGCCACTGATTAGATTAGGTGCAGAGGAACATTGTTTAAAGAGGAACTCAGCATGAAAATTTGAACTTTCAGCCCAACACAGAAGTACGTACACACACTCTTATGATAAAGAACAGTTAACAGCATAAACAACTCTCCCTCTTGCTCTTAAGCTACTTTTCTCTGAGATTTTATTTTAAAAAATGTATTCTTATTATTAATCTTTGCTTGTTATTTCTTGTAGACTATCTATTTATATATTAGTCTGTCTGCCTGTCTGTCTCTCTGTCTGTCTCTTTGTATTTCTGTCTGTCTCTTTCTGTCTATCTCTTTGTCTGTCTGTCTCTCTTTCTGTCTATCTATCTCTTTCTCTATGTCTGTCTGTCTCTCTCTTTCT